TTTTACCCATCCCCCCTCTCACCTCCCCTCTGGTGACCATCAGTTTGCTCTCTTGGGTTAAGAGTCTGTTTCTTGGTTTGCCTCTCTCTATTTCCTCCACTATGTTCATCTGTTTTGTTTCTTAAATTCCACATATTAGGGAAATCATATGGTATTTATCTTTCTCTGACTCATCTTAGTATAATACGCTCGAGCTCCATCCATGTTGTTGCAAATGGCAAGATTTCATTCTTTTTGATAGCTGAGTAATATTCCATTGTGTGTATAGATATAGATATAGATATGGATAATATACCACATATATATGTTTTATATACCATATCTTCTTTATCCATTTATCATCAGTGGATGAACATTTGCGCTCTTTCCATAATTTGCCTATGGTAGATAATGTAGCTATAAACATCAGAGCACATTTATCTCTACTTCTGAAACCAATAATACATGATATGTTAATTAATTGAATTTAAATACAATTTTTAAAATAATATACCAATTTGAAGGGCTATCTGTGTGTTTCAATACCATTGGTATGGATGAGGTTTCCTCTAGAGACTGAGCATGTAAAGAAGAGCAAAGAACGAAGGAGGGGTCCCTTTGAAACATGATTAGTCCATGAAGAAGAAGGTAGATAGATGAGTGGTCATGAGAACAGAGGGAGGAAACCAGAAGTGGAATCATGGAAGCCAAACGAGAGCTTCAAGAAAGACTGGGGTGGGTATCGATGCTAGAGGCTGCTGTTATTAGGGTTCCCTCAATAGGATTTATAACTCTAAATGCTGATTTCCAATCCTTTTTTTTTTTTTTTTTTGATTTCCAATCCTAATTAGAACCACAGCTTTGGTAGCTGTGCATTTGCATTTGACTTTGTTAAAGTGTCCCCATTCCGGAGTTGGAGACCAGAGACCTGAATTTGTGTCCCAGTTCTGTGACCTTCTTGCCAGGTGGCTTGGCAAATCATTAACATCTTGAGCCTCGTTTGTTCTCATTTGTAAGGTGAAGGAGCTGGAGTGTAATTGTTTGAAGTTCCTTTGGCTTTCAACTTCTGTGCCCCAACTGTTCTGGCACTTAGCCAAGCCCTAGCTACATTTCTAACTGCCACCCTCCCGAGGCTAACCATCCAACTGGCGATAGAATGACATAGCTCTCTTATCTCTCCTGGATTTGTTTCTGTGTTGACCTTTCCTGTCCTAGAGATAAATATCCTGGGGTGGGTGGCAGAAAGAGGAGATCTTGAATAGACAAACTGCCTCTCCTGGGTTTTTCTAAGATGTTCAGATAATCACCCTTCTGACTTGGTGGCTTTAAGGCATCACACTTCCCACCCTGAATGAGAAGGTCCCTCCACCTTCTTTCTACCCAGACAATTAACCCTTGATCTGCCTATAAAGTAGGTGCACTTTTGACTGAGACGGTTTGTGTTCTGGCTGGCATTCATTTTGCTGTTATCTTCTCAAATGAACTCTTGCCCCCAAAGCACCAAGTGTTTTCAGAAGCCAAGCTCCTCACCCAGTTTCCCCCCCACTTTCTGATAGCTTGGATTCTGCTGGAATCTGAAGACATATATCCATAATTCATTCAGTAATAATCAGAGCAGTGATAATAATAATATTTTGTCTCGGTCTCTTGAGGCCAGTCGATAGCTTCATATTTGCTGTTTGTGAGCAAATATTCCACAAGGGGTTGCAGTGACCATGACTCATTATTAATTCAGAGAAATACTGCAAGATACAGTTCTCCTGATATGTAATTGAAAGCAAGAGAAATACCAGCTGTGTGTGTGTATATATATATATATATATATATATATATATATATATATTCTAGCATAACTAACCCAACCCTTGTTGAGCACTGACAGGAGGCGGAGTGAGGAGGGAGCCCAAGGCCAAAATGCCATCCACAAACTAAATAAATTGTCACAATAGCTTCCTGAGCCCTCTAGCAGTGTTAAGGTACTTGAGTTGGATTAACTCAGCTCATCCTCACAGCAAACTCATGAAGTAGGCGCCGTAGGTACTGTTACCCTCATTCCCATTTTACAGATGAGGAAGTTAAGGCACAAAGGGAAATAATCTATTTATTCTATAGATACGACAAGAATTGTCATTTTCAGAACTTCCCTATATAATGGAGTTGAGCCCAGTTGGGAAGACATTGTGTAGTTGAGCTAAGCTGGCTTAGAGTTCTAGAAAGAGATCTGAACCAAGAGACCATAGTTCTGTTCTCATCTCTGACACCAAAATTGTGGCTTTGAGCAAAAGATAAACTGGCCTCCCCAGACCTGTTTCTTTATCTTATAAAACAGGGAGGTTGGGTCCAGTTCTCTAAAGGTCTCTGGAACTGCATGCATGTAACCTTCCATATGGGACAGTAATGGGTGTGTGTAGACTGTGTGTAGATGCTGACTCTCTGGAGCTTGCACCGATATTAAGTAACTCACTCCTGTTCAGCCAAGGCTGTAAATATCTGTCAGTATGTGAGGTGTCAGGCTAGCACTGGGGGGTGCATGCCACCAATGGTCATGCCAAACTCTCTTCCTAAATCCTCATTTCTCAGGGCAGCAGGGAAGACTGATGGGGAGTCATGGACAACCAGTCAGGAGAACTCACCCAGGGTTTCTCTGTTAGCGAGGACAACAGTCTCTGAAAGTTTTCCCAGAGAACCAGGTCTTGAGGCACATCTGAAACATTAGCATGCTGCTAACCAGGTGGTGGGAAGGTCACTGGGATGGGAGACAAAGAACATCCAGAACAACTCTCACATGGGGATTTCTACCTGCCTCTAATCAAGCACGGCCCAGCGCTCCACTTCAGTGCTTGGAGTCCCATGGCAGTGACCCAACTCCACATGCCTCGAGCTTATTTATGCTGATTAGGTCCATAGTCCCTTGCCTTTCTGCTGTTTTCTGTTTCTTTGCTTTCTTTGTAGCCCCTACAGTCATCCAGCGACCCACCCTCAGCTTCCATAGAACGGGTCCTGACTCTTACTTCTGATTTCATCTCGAGGCTTTCTTACCAGCCATTCCCAATCATGGAATGGGCCCCAGCAAAAGGGATAGAGACCATAGTGCTCAACTCTCTCCCTCCTCTACCATCACAATACAACTCTTCTTGAGTGGAGTGATCTCCATCAGATTATTTTGGTACAAAGGCCCAGAACCTTGTCGTCCGTAACTCTGACTTTTCTTTTAAGTTACAGAGCACTCGAGAGATGGAAGAAGAGAACCAGATTTTAGGATTATGACACATTCTTAAGTGGTTCCTCAAGACAGGATAGTATGCTGCATGATTTTATCTTTGTGTATGTGAGTTTCTGTTAGGAAAAATCCCAAAGCTTCCTAGCATATAAATACTAAGTAAAACTTTCACTCAGAACACAAATCCCTCAGTTTCCCATGAGCTTCCCTGTCTACATTGCAGACTTCTTGGATCCCCAAACTGTAACCAATAAGAACTTCAACCTTATTCTTCAAAAGCATCATCTGGCTCCCTGGGTACTGACCTCTTTTTTCTTAGGTTAAGTAGTAACACTAAGAGGATTAACAGTAAGAGTAGGACCTCCTCCCAGGTACTGATGGGAAGGGAGCTGCTTACATAATGCAGCCCCCAACCCCAACCCCGACTCCAGAGGGGAGACCCAGCACACAGCACAAGACTGTGGTTATGGGGCATAGTACAGGGGGAGATGATTAATGTATGTCAGTTCTAAAGGAATGAGAAGCACGGGGCTGGAAGATCAAGTCCACGTTTCTAGAAAAGCAAACAGGGGGCAGAAGTCCAAACAACAACTGCCAAAAATTCCACGAATATGTAAAGTCCCAAACATGCTCCACCCAATAGGCAGTCCCTCCTCCCACAAATGATCAGCATCCCGGTGACTCAGGTGCATCCAGACACTTTCATGAAGCACCGAAGAGATCACTTTTAGTTTTCCAAGTGCCTGTGATGAATTTACAGCGTCCCGGCTCCTCTGTGTGCTGGGAAGGAGCAGGCATGTGGTGATGGCTGCCATCGTACCGCGAAACATGACTAACGCCAAGAAATGAAGTCTTCGGAGCCTTTGAAAGGCGTCCAAGAATGTCAGCACATACCGCTTGCCCCACTCTCTGCTGAATGCCTACTTGGGCTGTCTGCTTAGTACTGAATGTGCCAGACAGGCCTTCATACAAAGGGGGGGAGTGTTTGGGGCCCCTGAAAGGGGGAGGGAGAGCCTTTCTGATGTGAACGGAGAGATTCAAGAAGTGGGGGGGAAGAGGTGGCAGGGGGAGGAGGGGGCTTCAGGAAAGGTATGAATAAAAGACCAAAAATGGAAAGAGGTGGCATCTACCTACATGCAGTAAACTCTTCATAGCCCCCTGCCATCAACTCTGAAGAGAGACTACTGTCACCCTGTGCTCCATGCTTGCTTATCATGTAAAGAGCACTTGCTTGTGGATTCCCCCTGTATCCACAACTTGATCGACTGGGAATAAGAATTTGGAAGGCCTGCCAAGGCATACATAAGTCGACCTTTGTTTCCATTTTAACACCAAATATAAATGCCATGTGTACCGTTTGTCATTTGGGATTGTCTTTGACTCCTCCTGCCTCCGATAGATGAAAAGATTGAGAAATGTCTGCTGTGGCGCATCTGAATATCTTGGAATGTCTTATTCTTCGAGCTGGCTTGAGGAAAGGAAGAAAAGTGCTCTGTATAGTGAACTCTTTAACAGTGCTACTCGTAATTCCTTGGCACGGCATCCCCTGCTAGAGGGAAGAACTCTTGTGGTGTTCGGAGCTTCGCCGAGGAGGCAGTCTGACGTCACTGGTGGCAGGCACAGTACGGACGTATCTGTGTTTTGTCTGCATCCATCTGTTTTTCTCCTTACAGGCTATTGTTCACATTTGTTCTTCTCCCCCTTCCAGGAAGTGTGCTTCTCCAGAAGAGCACGGGCTTTAGGTGTTTAAAGGACTGAGCTAGCATTCTAACACAATTGCCCTCTGTTCTCTTCTTCCTAGAATCTTATGGCAAGGGCCTTATACGACAATGTCCCAGAGTGTGCTGAGGAATTGGCCTTTCGCAAGGGAGATATCCTGACTGTCATAGAGCAGAACACAGGAGGACTGGAAGGATGGTGGCTCTGCTCCTTACATGGTCGACAAGGCATCGTCCCAGGCAACCGGGTGAAGCTTCTGATTGGCCCCATTCAAGAGACCCCCTCCGGTCAGGACCAGCCTACTTCAGGACTAATGCATCAGACCTTTGGCCAACAGAAGCTCTATCAAGTGCCAAACCCACACGGTGCCCCTCGAGATACGATCTACCAAGTTCCACCTTCCTACCAACATCAGGGAATTTACCAGGTCCCCACTAGCCATGGTATCCAGGAACAAGACGTGTATCAAGTACCACCATCAGTGCAGAGAAGCATTGGGGCGGCTAATGGTCCCCACTTAAGCAAAAAGGTGAGTGAGTGACCAAGATTTCTGTTCCTACTTATTTGTTTCCGTTGTACTCAGAGCAATAGAAATGTTCCCAGAACAAGAACTTAAAACTTTCAAGAGGTAAATATATCTTCTAAAGAGTAAGTATAACTAAATACTTGACCTTGAGCATTAGTTTTGCATCATTTTTCCATTCATTGGTCAGCAAAACTTTGTTCCCATGTTATTATAAGTTCTTGTGTCATTCCAGATCAAACTGGATCATTAAGTTTTTTCCGTCTTTCTGATAGATCTGCTTTTAGACCTAGGTTCTAGACTCAGAAATAGTTTCCCGTCTTTTCTCTTTCCTCCTTGAGTGGTACAAAGCACCAAATTTATACAAATACAATGATGCAGAAAGGACTGTCTTCTCATCAAAAGCTGAATCGTGTCCGCATTGAACTGGCTGCACAAAGAACCCACCAGAGAGCAAAGAAGCTGTTAGTGGGTCATGCCAACCAACTTGTTCTGCAGAGTTGTTAGTTTCAATGTTGACCCATTTAAAATAATACATGGATACTAGTGAATTTAGAAAGGAGCCATCCTCTTGTCCTTCAACTAATACCTATAATAATGCTGGAGCCAGTGGGTGAAAATAGTAGAGCTGGAATACTTAGGAAACCATCATGGTAAAAAAGTTTATTTTATTTATTTTATTTTATTTTATTTTATTTTATTTTATTTTATTTTATTTTATTTTATTTTTTTTAATAAATTAATTTTTATTGGTGTTCAATTTACCAACATACAGAATAACACCCAGTGCTCATCCTGTCAAGTGTCCCCCTCAGTGCCCGTCACCCTTACCCCCACCCCCCGCCCTCCTCCCCTTCCACCACCCCTAGTTCGTTTCCCAGAGTTAGGAGTCTTTATGTTCAAATACCCACCATTTGCTTCAACGTGGATGGAACTGGAGGGTATTATGCTGAGTGAAGTAAGTCAATCGGAGAAGGACAAACAGTGTATGTTCTCATTCATTTGGGGAATATGAATAATAGTGAAAGGGAATATAAGGGAAGGGAGAAGAAGTGTGTGGGAAATATCAGAAAGGGAGACAGAACATAAAAAAAATTTTTTAAAAAAGGAAGGATCTCTTCAGCACTTTATATAATTCCAGATGCCACAACAATTTGACATAAATAGAAGTCTGTTTGTTGAATTAATTTTAAGCATTTTATATATATATATATATATATATACATTTATTTTTAAAAGAGTTTATTATTTTTTAAAGATTTTATTTTTATTGATTCATGAGAGACACAGAGAGAGAGGCAAAGATATAGGCAGAGGGAGAAGCAGGCTTCCTACAGGGACCCTAATGTGGGACTCGATCCCAGGACCCCAAGATCACGACCTGAGCCAAAGGCAGATGCTCAACATTGAGCCACCCAGGTGCCCTTGTTTATTTTTTTTTTAAGTAATCTCTATACCCAACCTGGGGGCTCGAACTCACAACCCCAGGATCAAGAGTCACATGGTCATGGGATGAGCCAGGCAGGCAGGCAACCCTTTATTTAGTATATTTTTGATGCTTTTGATACAGGGATGAACTAGAGTGAACAAGGATGAACGTTCATGATGCTTCATTGTAGTGGGGAGAGAAGCAGATGCTGTAATGTCAGGTGGAACTACACACTGGAGAGAAAATAATGTTAGTGAACTACTGAGGTGATAGCCAACACCAGGATCCTGCTTAAGTGAGCATTACAGGGGAGGGCTTTCCTCTTTCGTTCACCGGCAAATTCCAAGGCTCTACAATGGGTCCTTTGAGGCTTGAGATTAAGAATGGACTGAATTTTCCCACATATATGAGTGAAACCATATGATGATTGTCCTTCTCTGACTGACTTATTTCACTCAGCATAATACCCTTCACTTCCATCCATGTCAAAGAAATGGTGGATATTCGTCTTTTCTGATGGCTGAGTAATATTCCATTGTATACATAGACCACAGCTTCTTTATCCACTCGTCTGTCGAAGGACATCGTGGCTCCTTCCACAGTTTGGCTATTGTGGACATTGCTGCTATGAGCATTGGGGTGCAGGTGAGGTGGGTGGGGGGATGGGGCAGCTGGGTGATGGACACTGAGGAGGGCACTTGATGGGATGAGCACTGGGTATTATACTACTATATGTTGGCAAATTGAATTTAAATAAATACAGAAAAAGAATGGACTGATTTAATGGAATAAGAAATAAGGGAAGACGCAGTTAGATAAAAGATGGAGCTTGCTGGCTCTGAGAGCACTACATAGGCATGTGCCCTGGCTCAAGAAAATCTAATACAACTGCTGAATTTACAAACCCAAGTCAATTATGGAATAATCTATTCTCATGATAATGGAACTAACTCTCCATTGGACCAAAAAAGTGGGGGGACAGGGAAAATCACCGCTGGATTCCTTGAATAACAAAACCATGAGTGTATTTTCGAATCACCTTTTATACAAAAGGTACGAATTACAAAATACTGCTCAAGAGCACCTGTGTTGCATAAGCCAAGGGCATGCCTACGAGGAGAATTCCTCAAGAAGGGGCGACTTGTTTTCCCCAGGACAGTGATCACTGTCTGGAGGCAAAGTGACTCCACCATGACCTTTCAAAGGCCTTCTTACCCCAGGGATTTTAGATTCAAAGGGAAAGCCAAGCCAGCCTCTATCTCCAGAGGGGGGGAAAGAACAGTTGAAAGGTGTAACTATAAATAAATAACTTCTCTCATTCTTACTCCTGGTTGTTTGCACCTTAAAAATAGCTCTCCCTCATCTGAGCTAGTATGAGGCAGACGAGGGAACAGACCAGAACAGGAAATGCTTGGCTGAAAGGTGGTGGGGTCTAAACTTTCATCACAGTTTATTTTGGCAGGAAGGTGACATGTTTTCCTTTTTAGACTCAACCTTTTGAGTTCCAAGTCTGAAAAGTACATCAGACTTCTTCCCGTTTTATTTGCTATAACTGCACGGGAGATTTGCTCCTTGACCCTCCATCCCTTTAAAGGGGAGAGACTAAAAAAATAAAAAATAAAAAAATAAATAAAATAAAAAATAAAGGGGAGAGATTTGGCCATGCCTTCCCTTGGCCTGATGTTGGGGTGCACGCTTGCAGTCAACGTTTTGTTTGTTTAATTTTAAAAGTAGTAGAACATTTTGTGTTTACCAAAAGGTAGGTGATTCCTGTAGGAGGATGCCAACTTCCGAATCAGACCTCTGCCAACACTTACAGGGGGGTGATTTTACCAGAACTGAGTAGATAATGCCTGCAGTGCCAAGTGTTGAGCTTTTGGGGTTCAAGGTGGTAACACTGGCAGCAAGGATGGGAAGGGCAGGAGGGAATGGTCCTGGCTACCCCCTGCCAAACACCAAGTGTTCTGCAGGATATCCTGACCTCACCTTGAAAGTCATCTAAGTGCCTGTGGTTGCCTAGGCTGTCTGCCTCCATCGTGTCCACTGGGCCTCTGCTGGAACCTCCATGGGTGTGAGGAAGAAGACCCCTTCCTTCCTTTCCTCATCTTCTTTTCTCTCTCCCTTCCTCTCTCGCTCTCTTGCTTGCTCTCACTCTTGCTCTTTCTCTTTCCTCTTTTCTTTCCATTTTCCCTTCCTTCCTTCTTTCCTTCTCTCCGTCCTTCTTAGTGGAGATGGCTTGGCTGCAAAAAAGTAATTTTAACCCTCTAGATAATAGTTGCTTTAAAAACTATTGTCAACATCTTCCTCTCTGTAGGGACCTTCTCAGTGGGTGAGAACCACACTAATGACTTAATAAGCCCAGGCCCCAAGAGTTAATCTCAGTACAAGAATCAATCAGGCAGGCTTTTAGGGTTTTGCTTTTGTTTTTGTTTGGGCTTTGGGCTTTTTTTTTTTTTTTTTTGAGTTCTTATTGTAGCTGACTTAGTGAATAGCCATTTACCCATTTTTCTCTTTACTTTCTCATCTGTAAAATGGTGGTGAGCCCACAACTAGACATTTCTGGAAGTTTAAGCTACGGTCTGGAAAAGCACTTAAAGAAGAAAAAGAGGAGGAAGTGGATCTTATTCTAAACCATGCAAGTGTGGTTCAGAACTTTAAGAGAACATAAGAATCCTCTGGAGGTGAGCCGAAATGCAGATTTCCAGGCCTTCCCAGCCAGAGATTCTAATCCTGGGACTTGGGAATCTGCCCTGGGGTGAGCTCATTGGCTAGTCCTGGGGGAGGTGATCCAGGACTGCATTTTGAGAAACACTGTGAAGTGACCATTATGGGGGGTTGGATATGTTCCAATCTGATTGTGATCTGGGACTTTCCATAGTTAAAGATTCCCTTGATGTTGCTACAGAGTGTGGGCTTCAGGAGTTTTATCCACCACAGTTTTTTCCACGAATGAATCATTTAAGAGAAAAGAAAAAATTCTCTCTTCTATCACTTCAATTTTGCTCTTTGGGAAACTTCAGCCTCTACCCAACTAACACGCCTCTACCCATCCTGACCACATTAAGTGACACGCATCACTTAATACATCAGCAGTTAGAAAAAGAAAGATGATCATATGATCCCCACCCTTTTATAAAACAAGACAGTATGAGTTTTGTGCAAAGAGCATGGACTTTGGGGTTAGGCGGACCCCTGGCTCTCTTCTTTCATAGCTGTCAACCCCTTGGCAAGCTACTCAACTTCCCTAAGCTATGGTTTCTCCATCTGTAAAATGGGAGCAATCACAACTACCTCTTAGAGTTCTTGTGAGAATTAAATAGAACAACCTACAGAAAAGGACCCAGCCCAGGGCTTAGCATGGCAGGGGCCTAAAAAAAAAAAAAAAAAAAAAAAATTAGTTCCTCTCCCTTATTTGTCTTTCCTTTCTCAGAGTTTGTTTTGAATGCCTCAGCCCTGTTTGTGTTTCTGATTGTACACCAAACATGCAAATACTTTACTGCCAACACCTAAGCTGTTCCCTTTGAGCCTGTAGCACTCTCTCTCTCTCTCTCTCTGGTTCTACGAGAATTTTGCACAG